TGGCCTCGCGGAGATCTGGGGCTCTCTCGCTCTCGTTCTCGCTCTCGGCTCAAAGAGCTCAGATGCTCGCTTCTCGCCGCTTGCAGCTCGGCCTCGGCTGGCGAAAACAAGGGGAAACGGCTGAGTCTAAGTACGCTTTGAACCGAACACCTGCCGGAACACCTGATCACCTTAGAGGGCCGCTGACTTCGGAATAGTTTTGAACTCCTTCCCCCCCCCCCCCCCCCCGCCACACATCCCCCCACTTCGTGCGACAAGAACAGGCAGTATACTTGACGCGTACCTCGGTCAGACGAGAAAAAACAGTATTCTCTAAGAAGGTGTGCTGTGGCCGCATCTGCCAGCACATGGTTCGGTTCTCCTGGCGACTTCTGTTGCGATGGGTCTCTGAAACTACTTGTCTTTCTTCTGCCATTGCAGCATTCCAGAGCACTTTCCCAGGGCTTGTTTTCTTCGAGATAAAGCCTTTCCTGTCTCTCCTGCCGGAGGTTCAAGAATCTGTATTTCGGCTGTGGTCAGTAGGCTGCTAAAACGCCTGTGAAAGGAGTCGTGCTTAGAAGCGCGAGCGGGCCATGAAGAGCCTCAAGAGTTGCAGATGCAAACAGATGCAGTATCCAAGTGCACACCAAACATGCAGCATACCGTTCTCCAATTCCTGACTCTTGGAAGATTTGTAGCTCGAATCCTTGAGCCGTGCATGTGTACACTAGCTACGAAAGCTGAGACCTGGTACGGTGCAGATATGGCAGGCCGAAGTGAAAAGTGCTTGGAAGCCCCAATGGCACTTGCTAGCTGCTAGTGGCTGCTACTCACTCCACGTGCTGCCGAGATGCGAGTGTTGGCCGCTTCTTGCCGCAATTGTGACAATACTTGGCATCCGGATAAAACCTGCAATGCACGATGACGCCAATACACTTGAGCATTCCTTGATCAAGTTGATTGTGAAGTGAAACTGGGGCCGCAACGTGGTGCCGCAAGCCTTGCAAACCTCCTGGCGAGAGATGTCAACTTTGGCTGTCAACGCTTCCAAGCCATGTCCGCCAGATCGCATCCATCAGCAAACCAATTCTTCCTCAACGATGTTCGGCCACACGCTGCCACAGTCTTTGCGGACAACAGGCCCAGCACTACTTCATCGCAATGGAATCTGCCGGGGCCACGTTATTCTTCTTCATCTCCCAGTGGTCGAAGCTGCTCCCTGCCTGCGAGAAGGGTGACCCTTGATACACCATAGCCATAATCTCCGTAGTCTGCCTAATGAATCTATGTCCTTACGATCCGGCCTCCTCCAGGTCCAGTTCCAGCAGGCGGCTGAGCATCATCCACTCCTCTCTCAATCATTTCTCCGTGAAGCTTCGCATTCTATTGCAATGTAAGCAAAGAGCTTTTTGTTCGCACAAGCTGTGTTCTGCCCCAAACAGGACGGGGCATGCAGTCTGTCCTGGAAAGACAGCTCCGTCGTGACTGGCTCAAGGCCTGCCAATCCTCTAGTGGTCTTCGCCTCCCAGCGAAGTGCCAGCAAGGTGCATCCGTGCATCCGAAAGCATCTCCTGCAGCGGCCCGCTTTTTCCCACATAGCCCGGGCAAGCGGCGAACGAGTGCACATTGCAAGTTCGACACTGAAGACAGATCCAGACAGCACCATAAGCGTCACTCGGGCATTGGCCTTAGCCGGCAAAAATGCTCAAAATGCACTGCCCAGATTATCCATCCAGTCCATGTGCGCGCTGATGGGGTCGCGGCTTGCGCTCTCGGGTTGAAGGTTGGCATGCTGCACAGAGGAAGGCTCAAAAAGACTCCAAGCGGTTTGCCTCTGTGACTTTTCCAGATGTGTCGTTTTCGACCTAGTTCTGATTGGACTCGGTGACACTACATCACTATGTACAACAGCTTAGAAGAAATGGCCGCAGAGGCTGCAAGCACAGCGTCTTCCAGGCGACCTGGACGATGCATACTGGCCACGGGCTGCGCACGGAATCGTTTATCTCCTCCACCGCTTTGCTCCCGCCAGCGCCAGAACCAGCGCTGGAAGCGCCAGCAGAAGCAAGCCTGGCGAGCACTAGCACAAAATGAGCTGTGAGAGAAATCGCCCACCTTCACCGTCAACACAAAGCCCGTGAACCATGCCATTACAATGCTGTCCCCCCCTCAGCAGCCTAACGAGCTTCTCCAATTCCACAGATCCTGCCTCGGTTCACCTTGACTGCACCCAGAACTGTGGGATGGTCGGCCAAGGAAGGAGAGAGGGCCCCGGCCTAAACTGGAAGACTTTTGAGAGGCCTCTTCCTTCGACTCCTGCCGCAAAAAGAGCGCAGGGCGGCAATGGTCGCGGGTTCGTGTGCTAGTGTGCTGCCTCAGATCCATCTCGGACCTCGCCGGTCTCTTTCGGTCGCCGCTGCAGCTGTGTCCCTGCTGCCTTGCCTCAAAATCGCATTGTACTACAAAAAGGGGGGTTAAGAAAGAAATGACAGATCACTGGACAAGCAGCGTTGGCGTTGCAGCCAGGTGCCGTCCTGCGGCTACCCGGACAGGTGTGAATCGTCTATCCGTGGACATTGACTCTCACATGGCTCCTCCTGCACCTGTCCAAAAGCTTCGATGTCCGTGTTCGGACCAGTTTTGATCACCTGAATATTCAGGAGCTGTGCATCTCGGTATGTGGCTCATGCCACATTTGCCATTCCAGCAATCCCCAGGCTGCACAACAATGCTGCTATGCCCAACATGCGATTTTCTCCGCATAGCTGAGCCCTCCATTTGCACATGCCGCCGAGCACTTGTGCCCTGCGAACTCGTTATCTTTGGCAGCTTTCTACGAGTGGCTTCGCAACGGCGCTCAAGACTGAAGGCGCCAATCGAGATTGAAGCTCAGCCGCCCAGAAGCAACTTCAAGATGAACCGGCAACAATCGGCTTTGACATGAGTGGCCGCAAGACCTGCTCCTAGTCATCCTCCTCGGAATCTGACTCATAGCCCCCAAGGCCTCCAACGGTGACAGCAGCAAAACGTAGAAATCTGAAAAGACGGACACAGGCCTCCGATTCCGGCCGGCGAATCGCTGGGCTTGGCCTGGAGGATTCAGGTGGGTACAGGCAAAGAGGGTCCGAGCCCGTAGAGCATTTCCCAGTGCATTTCCCGCCTCGGGCGCTTCGGGCGCATCTTCGGGCTTGTCGTTCTTGGCCCGCTTGGCTTCCGGCTCTGGCCTGTGCTTTGCTTAAAGCTTCGTGTACAGTACAAAAGCCTTCAGACACGATACGGGGAGCAGAATGGAACACTGAACGAACACGAGCCGAAAGCGCCTGCAGTGGAACATCAAATTCGAGCTGCGTCTCTGGAACAGTTCTGCGATTGCGGGTTTCGGATGGATTCCGACCCTCGTGTGCAATGGAACATGCCAGGCATTTGTCAGGTTGGCAGAATCCAGAGCATTCGACTTTGTTCTGGCCTTGGGCAACAGGCCTCCGTTGGGATTCTCAACATCACTCTGCGAAACAGAGACACGCAGCGGAAGAGAAAGAGCAAAGTCAACCGTGCCAAAGTGAGTCTACGAGCTGTCTCATGTTGCAGTCAGAGTAGCGTCTGGCTCTTGGCTCCTTAGCGGCACCGAGGTGTGCTTGGCAAAGAACTGTCACTGGTGCAGACCAACGAAGTCAGGCAAGCGTCCACCAACTTTCAGGAAGCTCGGAAGTTCCTTTGGCACGGGGAATGCTTGCGACGTCCGGAAGCTAAATCAGTGGGTTTTTATTCACTATAGCAGCGTACTGTAGAGAACACGCTCGCCCTTCCAGCGACGCTTTCGATCGAGCTGCGCGTTTTGTATTCTTGGCGGCGGCACGCTCTGCCACCAGTGATGCCAGTCCAGCCTGATGCCAAGCCCTCGCCTAACGGTCCCTTAGACCCGAACCCTACCGCACACAAACCTAGCAGGATACTGGAAACACGGTGTTTGGATGCACAATGC